AGAGAGAGAGAGAGAGAGAGAGAGAGAGAGAGAGATTATTTCCATGATTATTCAAGAAGAAATAACTTTGAACATAAGATATATGGTAGTTCTTGCTCTGCTAAGAAAAGGGTAGTCTCTCACAGTTCAACTTTATATATATATATATATATATACAGACCTTGATAAACCAGTGAATGCTTTTAAACCTAGCAATGATCAAATTATTTGAACACAATTCCTCTGCATAGTTAGGTCCAGGCATGTAACTCATCTCCTTCCCCAAGCATATGGTAAGAGCCTGCTCAAAGTCTTCCTTAGTTGTGTGCATTGATGATCCACAGTAACTCTTTGAACCACAATGATCAAAATCAATGTGATTCATAGGATCATTCACAGCAGGACTTGACGGCCAAACCTCATCACAGAGCAAGCTTTCCATAAGTTCTGAAAAACTAGAAGCTACCCCAGTCTAGAAATTGTACAATTGTTTCAAACTTTGCTACTTGTACCATCAAATTGTGAATTCAATAATAAGGGGAGGTATCTTTTGTGTACTTTGAGTGATGAGGAAGAGAAAACGAAAGCAAACATGGTTATAGGGTGAAATGAGGGAAGTTATATAAGAGTGGGTGGTTAGAGAGAGAGAGAGAGAGAGAGAGAGAGAGAGAGAGAGAGAGAAATAAAAAGAGGGCCACGTCCCTCATGAAATGGGGTAAATGCATTGCGAGTGGGTATAGATTTTGGCTGTATTTTATTATTATTATTATTTTTTAATATATATTTTTTTTTTACTGTGGTTACGAATTGCGTGAGCTCATGCACGAGGATGTCTCTGTGGGCTGCACGGAGGAATAAATGTCCTCATCATCATCGCATCAATGTAGTGAAAGGAGGTAAAAAGCTAAGGTTGTGTTGTGTGGGGTTTGGTTGGCACTGGAACTTGAGAATGATGGACTCTCAAAGTGGGCCCTGCTTTTGGCTGATAAGGCTGTACAAGTTGAGTATTGTGGTTCCCACGGCCGTGATCGTCTTCAACGCCTGATCATGAGGGCTTGGTGATTGCCCAATTTTCATCAGTTCCTTTGGGACAAATTGTTCTAGTTTGTGTTGAATCTCCACCAAGAAAAACTGTCATTGAATGGCTTGAATGTTCATCCTTGAAGCTTGGACAGTTGGATTGGGGACCACAACTTCTATTTATGGGTTTGGTTGGTATTTACCCAATTGGGCCTTTGTTGAAATTATGAAACTACATGTATATGTAATTGAAAATCTAGGGAAAAAGTTAGCATACAAGAATCATATAGAACCAAAGTTTGGATCTTTTTGCTTGTGATCACAATAATAAATTCAACTTCTGATTTGAAAGTTTGGCTAAACATGCGTTGATTTCATATCACCCCCAAGTCAATAAGAAACGGTAATTAGCAGATAAAAGTAGCTAAGGGATATTCAATGCTTGTACAACAAATTTCCCAAGTTGTCCAATTTCTGGTAGGATACATAGGTATATTCAACTCTATCGCAGCTCGTATGATGAAAAGCTGAAACCTTGTCTCCCCTCGTTAGTGGATTTCAGCTCAAGCTTCTGAAATGGGCTGCAGGTTGGTTCAAGTAATCTTTTATCAATCACTTTGTCGCAATGTAAGTGAAAAAATTAAAACACAAGACAATGCATGATAGGGATAGTAAGTATACGATGGAAAAAATAAGGGAAACAGCGAGCATACCTGCTGTTAGGATCGTAATAGAAACCATTGATGGAGCCATCACTACAAGAGAAACAGACATAGTAAAAGCCAGCTATAGTCAGCCCACAGTCTGTGCCAACATTCACAAAGTATTGCTCTTTCCATCTCTGCACCAGGAAGTCAAAGACCTTATCAACGTTTCATTTGACATTTAAGAAGTGATTTTACCAATGAATAATAAAACAATTAGGTCAGTTACCATGAATATGTATTGATAGTTACTCAGATCTAATGATTTTCCGCCATCAACTTCCACATGGCTCTGTAGAGCCGAAAAAGAAGGAAACTTGGTCCAGTGCCTTATATCATCCTCTGGTCTGTAAAGAGTCACACACATTAGCATTAACTAATTAGGTTCCATGCTTAAGTATAGGTTAAAAGAACAAAAGAAACATACGTTGCTTCCCATTTTCCAGTGAAGAAAGTATAATTCTTGGTGTCAACGATCTCTCCTTCCCAAAAGGTAACTACCTAACATACATTTAAGAAAAACAAAGTAAATACTCAGTGAAGGTTACCAAAATATCAAAATAAGGGGGGTGTCAGCTGTCTGCAATGAAATACGATCAATATGCAAGGGTAGTCTTTTTGCATCCTAATCATGATATTAAACCCCTAATTCATATATCCTATGAGACACACGATAATCCGTGAATATCACACTGATATTGACTACGGACTATAGACTATCACAGCAGTATGAAAATCGAAAACGCCGAAATGAGATATGAAAATGCTTAAAATAAATGCCTTTCCAGACCACTATGTCAATAAATGTTGTAAAGAACAGTTCCGAAAAGACTCAGTTGTTCCTTCACTCTTTTATTTGTTAATACATTTAAGATAAATTCTTAACCTTAATGCCAATCCTCACATGGTGACAGAAGACCAACCGAAGAAAAGCACAAACCTCTTACCGGTGTGTCTGCCATAGGAACATTAAGGGCTTCCATGGTTCCACATAGATAACCATGTTCAAGGTCACAGCCCTGTATACGAACATTTACTCTCCAAGCTTCGTCCTTTTGCAGACTAGACACATTCTGAGTGCCGGAGAAGGCCTGCCACAGAATTATGACCTTAATGCTACAATGCCATAATACCAGTGGTACACATTTATACTTCCAAATGTCATTTCTTATGCCCAATAAGTCAATACAGAGGCAATTCTTAAATTTCAATTCCAGAATATATTAACCAGCAAAACAATCACAAAAGGGACAGGGGCAAAAAGAAACCTGTCCAACGCTTAAAAGTGAGCAAGCTGGGGGAGAGGTCTGTCCACAATTTGAACCTTCACAGTAATATGTAAAATAGAATTCAAAATTCATATTTTTATGATAAAAATGGCGAGTCAAAATAATTGGAAGCAAAAAAACACAGAAAAGCTAGCGTCTTTGAGAGAATTCAATCCTACAACATATACCAAACAATCCAGATTTCGGCCAAAACCCTAACCCTAGGAAATGGGCAAGGCGATGTTCAGAAAGAAAGAAGGAGCGATAGAGAAGTACCTGAAAGTTGAGAAGGGGCGGAGCTCTCTGCCACTCTCACCGGCATTTCCAAATTTCGGTCAATCAAAAACGGAGTAAGCGACTCAGATCAGATGCTATGCCAAATCCAAGACACAATCCAGAGTCCGAACCAGTCTGAATGAACCCGACCCGTTACCGACTCTTAAAATGGTTTCTCTCTTTGCTTTTGACCTTTTTCCTCCAGAATCTTTTCAACTAAAATTCATTTCTCTACTTACTAATGCATATTAGAAGTAAACGTACTTTATTTTTGATTTTTGATTTTTTTTTTGGGAGAAATACTTAACTTTGGTTTTGAGGTTCCATCAAAATTTGTTTATATAAAAACTTAACACATAAATATTAAGTTATTTGAAAACATGATTTAGGCAAGTTTGCTAGAGCAAATATGTTTCCTACTCTATACCCGAGTTCGAATCCACTTCCTCGTAGTTTAGATTAGTTTTAAATAGAATATTACTTGTAAAAAAAAAAAAAGTTAGTAATATCAAAAGCAAAAATAATAAAAACACATTTCATACACATTTTTACATGGTCACTACTTGAACCAAAATTCAATAATTGTACTCAACATTTCATTGAAAAGGACGTACTTTTTACCTTTGGTTACCACTTGAAAAGGTTTTTTGGTTATTTCCTTTCTAGATTCAAATACAAGTTGTTCGACATGTGCACTGGATTGTGGTGGCTTGCAGCTTTCTCGCTCAAGAATACGAGGGACGCACAAACATAGACAGCTCTGAGTATACCGAAAAAAAAAAAGTAGACTTATAAGCTAACACTTTCTCCATTTTTTGTTTTCCTGTTTCTGTTGTGAAAAGGTTTCACCCGTTTGGCAGTGGCACAAAGATTTTGAGTACAATATAATGATTTTTTTCATAATTTTATTTTTCACAGAGACATTACATACAAACTGTTTTCCATTTCACATCGCTTTTCTATGGGAAAAGAAAACCACAAAGAGGTGGCATTCAAAGCTGCATATGCATGCGTTGCGTTGAATCCCAGTTTTCCAGAGAATCCTACTTGCTTGGTGTCAGCGACCACCGGAGAGGAGTGTCGCCTCTGGAACATATAATGACTCTGTGTATCCCCCATTTGCAAAATCATCAAAACCTTCATTGTGAGAAAATGCTAAGCCAGTGGCAGAAGCGCCAAGTGACAACTCTGGCAAAAGAGTATGATCACCCTCCAAATACTGCACAACTTGGCGCATCCTTGGCCTAGCTGTTGGCTCTGTATGGGAGCACAACAGCCCAAGCTTCAACACCAACTCCATCTCCTCAGCTATAAATTCTGTGCCCAACTTTCGATCTGTTGCCACAAGAATATTACCTCTATTCCAACAAGAAAAAACCCAATCAACCAAAATTGAAACGTCTGAACCCTGAGCCTCTATTGGCCTTCTTCCACAAGCAGCTTCAAGCAGAAATACCCCAAAAGCAAACACATCAGTGCTCGTTGTGGCGCGGCCTGATCTTGTATGTTCAGGAGCTAGATACCCAAGTGTTCCTGCTATATGAGTAGTTTGAGGGTCTCCGCCGTGGTCATAAAGTCTTGCAAGCCCAAAATCCCCCAGTCTTCCATTCCATTCCCCATCTAGTAATACATTACTGGCCTTCACATCTCTGTGAACCACAACTTGATCCCATTCTTCATGCAGATAAAGCAATCCTGAAGCAACACCTTTGATGACTCTGAACCTCTGGCTCCAATCAAGAGTAATAGCCGGCTGGCCATATAGGTACTTGTCCAGGCTTCCGTTAGGCATGTGCTCATAGACCAAAAGTAGCTCCCCTTTTCTTCTGCAGTAGCCCAAGAGTGGGACTAAATTTCTGTGACGAAGCCGGCCATTGCTGACAATTTCTGCAACAAACTCCTTCATCCCCTGCCTTGAGTCATGTGAGATCCTCTTCACGGCAATTTCAATTTTTGAGGTGGGTAATATACCTCTGTAAACCTTACCAAATCCACCCTTTCCCAAAAGCTCCTTTTGTGGCAATATACAACTCATTGTATTTAAACCTTTGAGGCCCATACTCAAGCTCCCAGTCTTCAAGGAGTTCTGCAAACTTCTTTTTTCTAATGGCATAGTTTACACCAGTAAGAAATAATACCAGAACAATACTCACAAATATCACAGGCAGTCCAATGGTCAAAAGTTTATATATTTTGTCAGCTCCTATTCGAGGCAGCTTGGGAAGTTGTGAGAGCCCTTGAGCCTTGCCATTCATCTTAAAGCTCCAGCCCAAAACATAATGAGATGTTAAGATTGAGCCGGTGGACGAGGAGAAGCCCACATACATGGCTTCGTTAAGGATTGGGGAAAGGTCTCGCATATAAGACATAAGTGGAATATTGGGTTTACCTTCACTAATTGGAGCCAAACTGATCTTGATTTGCTTCTCCGTCCCATTATAGTCCACCCAAACTTGCATTGCCTGACTGTTGACAAGCATTGTCTTGTCCAAAGCAAAATATCTCGCTGGAGCAGATATCTCAGAGTTCAAACCATTAATATCGATTCCGACATGGTCGTCATTCATGTCATGGAAGCTTTGGACGGTGTCGATCTCTACAGCAAAAACATGATTGGTGGCATTGCCGTTGTTGGTCTCATTGAAAAGGCCAAGGTACTGTCTTGGAAGAGCTCCGGGAGCAACAACGAAAGCCATGCCATGGGCACTCAGATCTGCATATTCTGATCTAATAGCGAAGACAAAAGTGGTAGAGAAGGAGAAAACTGTACCATTAGATGATTTCTTGAAGGTTACTGGGTGGGGATAGAAGGCATGACCCTGGTTCTGTTTAGTGTCGTTTGTAAGCCTCAAAAGACCATTGGGTGTGACTCCTGCTATGCCATCTAGGCTAAGGTTATCGAAGCGGAAACCATTGTAGAAGAAACTGAGATCTTCAGCTGCTGCTAAGCTTACCAGTATGAATATTACAAGCTTGGAAAACATGGCTAATCTTGATTCTCAGCCAAGGCCTTTCCGAACTTTTAACATATCCTTCATTGCAAGTCTTTGCATCAATTCAACAAATAATAGTCACCAAATAAAAGTCAATGTAGCGGACACTGTCACAAATTAACAAAAAAATTCTTCCATACAACTAGTCCAAAATCTGCATTCAATTTCCCTTCTAGAAACTACATGTATATTTAATTGAAAATCTAGGGAAAAAGTTAGAATCCAAGAATCATATAGAACTAAAGTTTGGATCTTTTTGCTAGTGATCACAATAATAAATTCAACTTCTGAACTGAAAGTTTTGCTAAACATCCCCCAAGTCAATAAGAAATGGTAATTACCGGATAAAAGTAGCTAAGGGATATTCTACAATCCTTGTACAACAAATTGACCCAAGTTATCCAAATTCCTAGTCGGATACAGAGGCATAATCTATTCTATCACAGCTCGTATGATGAAAAGCTGAAATCTTGTCTTCCCTCGTTAGTAGATTTCAGCTCAAGCTTCTGAAATGGGCTGCAGAACACTTTTTTTTTTAAGATAACCTTGACGGTGAGCCAGAGGGGACATAAACTAAGACAAACAGTAAAAAACCGAGAGCCCGGAAGACGAGAGAAATCCCAAGAAAAGGCTGGTGATCCACATGAATATTTATCTCAACTCTTCTTTTCTTATAAAAATGATTAGCCCCTCATCAGATGAGGGTAAATAGGATATTACAGCGGTTTACTTGGCTAATGGTACTTTATTAATATACTTGTTACATATACCGATCAGTAGACAAACCACAAACATATATTACATGAACAACCTAATAAGCACCGCAGTACAGATTCTTTTGCCCCCTTAATTTATATCAAAGTTAACAACAATAATAAATACTAGAGTGCATTGGCTATGAATTCTAAGATAATCCTAATTCTTGGAGTCAACGACCACCTGAGAGAAGTGTCGACTCAACATATGAAAGCCCCGTGAAAGAAGAAGACTGATATGACTTTGCAAAATCATCAGAACCTTCTTGGGGCGCAAAGGTCAAGCCACTGGAAGAGTGCCCAAGAAATGAGAGCTCTGGGAAAGCAATGTCACCTTCCAAATACTGCACAACTTGGCGCATGCTTGGCCTAGCTGAAGGCTCTGAATAAGAGCACAACAGCCCAAGCTTCAACACCAGTTCCACTTCCTTGGATATAATTTCTGTGCCCAAGTTTCCATCTCTTGCCTCAAGAATATTACCTTTATTCCAACAAGAAAACACCCAATCAACCAATATCACACCCTGAAGTGGACCTTGTGTCTCTATTGGCCTTCTTCCACAGGCAACTTCAAGCAAAAATGCCCCAAAAGAAAACACATCAGTGCTCGTTGTGGCCTTGCCGGATCTTGCCTGCTCTGGAGCAAGGTACCCTACTGTTCCAACTATATGAGTAGTTTGAGGGTCTGTGCCATGGTCATATAATCTTGCAAGGCCAAAGTCTCCTAGTCTTCCATTCAACTCCCCATCTAGTAATACATTACTTGCCTTGACATCCCTGTGAACCACAACTTGTTCCCATTCTTCATGAAGATAAAACAACCCTGAAGCTACACCTCTAATGACTTTAAACCTCTGGCCCCAGTTGAGAGTGGCCGTTGGTTGGTTATAGAGGTACTTATCCAGGCTTCCATTAGGCATGTAGTCATAGACCAAGAGTAGCTCCCCTTTTCTTCTGCAATAGCCCAAGAGTGGTACTAAATTCCGATGACGAAGCCTGCCGATGCTCACAATTTCTGCCACAAATTCCTTCATCCCCTGTCTTGATTCATGTGAGATCCTCTTCACAGCAATCTCAGTTTTAGAGGCGGGTAATATGCCTTTATAGACCTTACCAAATCCCCCTCTTCCTAGAAGTTCCTTTTCCCTAAACCCTTCGGTGGCAATATATAATTCTTTGTACTTAAACCTCTGAGGCCCATACTCAAGCTCCCAATCTTCAAGCAGCTCTGCAAACTTCCTCTTCCTTCTTATGGCATAAATTACACCAGAAATTGCTAGAAAAACCAAACTCACAGATATCACAGGAACACCAATGGTTAAGAGTTTAGACATTTTTTTACCTCCTACCCGGGGCAGCTTGGGGAGTTGTGAGAGAACAAGTTCTTGAGCCTGGCCATTCATCTTAAAGCTCCAGCCCAAAATACAATGAGACGTGGGAACTGAGCCAGTGGAGGAGGAGAAGCCAACGTACATGGTTTTGTTAAGGATTGGGGCAAGGTCGTGGTTTAA